TAAATCGAAAAACTAATATCATGGACCATTTTACAAATGGTGATCAACTTAATCAGAATTTATTGAATTCGAGACAACATAACTAGAAACATCTAACACTTAAACAAGCCAAATTAGATAATATTATGGCGGTGAAATCGGAACTCCAGAAATGAATTCAACAAGTCTTATTTTCATTTCTTATCTTCAGTGCCTGGATATATCAAACACTGGTTGAGATAATACCTTTTCAAGGGGAAGGTAGGTAAGATGTCCCGTTAGGCAAGAGAACGGTAGTGAGAACATATTCACAGATATGGGCCTGAAAGAATATTAAAGGAAAGATTTTGTGATTACTTTCCTATAGGATAACTTCTAAAAGCACTTAACGGGTATTTAGTCCCGATAAAATGTGAATGCTGGCTAAACGAAGGATTTCTCATTTTCACTATGATTAATGAAATGCTTTCAAAGATTCAAGGGCAAAGAGAATAGTCAATATCTGCTAAGTATTATAAATACTCAGCAAATGACAGTGATAGATCAAAGAAAAAGATTGGTTCGACGCCAATCAATAGAACTGGACAAACCAGCATTGAATGGTCTTGGCAGCAAGTGCCAAGATAGGAGTCATAGGTGCGGGGATTTCGAAAGCTAAAACGCCCGTTAAAAAGCTCTTTATGACCACTCTAAACCGCTCTACTATTATTAGTGACTGACATATTTCCTTAACCTGCAGCCAGAAATTACTCCAAGCAGTTCAGAAAAGCATACTGCAGAAAAAATTTCATTTTGATTTAATTTCATTAATAATCACTATCTAGTCAAAATTTTACTTCGAATTCGAATTGCATGATCTGGTTGGCAGCCTCCAAACTAACACCGATGTTTACAGAAAACTTGTCAACAAAGAGGGCAGGCTCAGAATCTATATGCACGCACAATCGACCAAGATGTTTCACAGATCCACATTACCAGACGCATAATTATATTCATCGAATTTTTCTTAGGCTAAAATCATTACCAAAAACGGTTTCATGCCATCATGTGCAGAGCGGAAAAAGCATCTTCCAAATTCAAAAAATCAACTAATCAGCAGTTTTTTTATAAAAAAATATTACACCATTATAAGTGAACAAATTTGGAGAATTTTATTACCATGGAGCAAAAGTGGATTATAAAGAGAACTTTACAAATTCCAATAGTCTTGGTTTATTTAAAAAATGGTATAAGCGTACACCAGGCACTTTTAAAGTCCCATACAATCCCGTTGTACAAATTAATAATTTGATCATAAAAATTGATCCTAAAACGACTTTAGAACACTTTCGTGGGCGGTTGATACGGATTTCCACTGCTCAAATAGACTTAGAGGCAAGATGACCACACACGCACTCATTTGACAGCCTGTAAATAGGTGTTAAAATAGAGGTCAGATGATGCTTCTCATACTTAGTAATTTGCCTAGTCATCCATCGATTCACCGTGGTCTTCTCATTCAAAATGATTAGTAAATAAAATATAAAATAGTAACCAACGGATGCCTAGCTTAAAGGCAACGATAATTTAAATAGGCGTTGCCTTCCGAACTCCGTGGCGTTAAACAACTTCATAATGTAATGGGCAAAAATACTAATACTCAGTCTTGAGCTCTTTGAAATGTACGATTTCTTTTATCAAATTAATAAGCAAAATTAATTTAGTGAGGACAAGTAAGCAAGAAGTCAAAAAAGTTCTGAGTTCAAGAGCTAATTTATAAAGGCATAGTGCATTGGTCACTGTGCACTTCTTCCATGTGAGAAGTTACAGGTTCAATTCCCATCAGTGCACAACCGCACCGGTTAGGTTTGGCTAGCAGAGGGGTGACCGAATTCGAGTCTCTCGCCGAAAGGCCTGGCACTACCGTCCTTCGCCCTTAAATGAGCTCGAGAAATATTCACAATTCAAATCCTATTTTAATACTAATTGCCACCGAGCAATAACTAGCACACAACTTCCTTCATTATATAAAATTCAGCAAAGTTAACAACTTTCTCCTTGAATTAGAACTGAGGGGCGGGTCAGTTCAGTGGGGGTAAGAACGTACACCAGAAGACAGGGCTTGGTATTCATTGGATCACTTGATCGGCTAAAATCAACCGACCGATGTGCGGTTGCACATTAGGGAGACTCCAATATACCTTTCATTTTCCCGAGGTACATTCAATTTGTTTGGACAAACGTGTGTCTTAAAACGACCTTCAAAAGAACCGGATAAAGCGAAACACGGATAAGGCATGCAGCACACATGGATTTAGGTCACACAACACTTAAAAAAAACCACAAAGTACTAAGATAACCAATTCAACTGCAATTGGCAAGAATGTTTTTATCTCATGGTAAGTAGTTTAAGTAATTTTACTATTTTTAAAGAACGTTGAGAAATGTCAGCTAATCAATACTCAAAAACCGTTGCATTATAAAATTTACCTTTAAAGGAAAACTGTGCCAGATTACACCTGGATTTTTTTACAAAGATCCAGAATAACGATTGTTGTTAGGTGCTTTTCTTTTAATATCAACTCAAATGTCAATCAACGATCGCTAACTCAGTTGCAAAATAAGTGAAGAGTGATGCGTCTGTCGAGGACTAACGATGCATGAGGAAAGTATAAGTTCAAGATAAGACGTTAAACATTCATCGACTTGGAATTTATAGAAGGCGCTAAATGGCTTCGTAGCAGAAGTGCTCACACGTCCTCTCCACACTCCAACCCATCAGTAAATATACACTTTTACCGTCTGGTTTTGACACTGGCTCTCAGGAAAATGTGAACGAGGACAGTATTCTGTAAAGCTAAACCTCACAATCAACCAAATACGAATTGAGCATGAAAAAGTATAATACATATTTCTCAAACCTTACGAAAATTATAAATGAACACGACTAACATAAGGCGCCTAGCAAATAATTGACAAACTTTTTCAGCTCTACGCAAATTTACCTTGGATAGGAAATGAATGTGGAAGTAGTTAAATGATACCGAAATTCAATCCGGAAATAAAGAAAATGGAATGTAGCTGAAACCACCTTGCTCCGCAGAAATTATTAGATTAGGTTCAACCAACATACAAATTTAAGAACTTATTTTACCAAGAAATTGGGATGTTTAAATTTTACATTACGACCCTCCAGGTAAATTCAAATGAATTTTTTATTTAACGGACTTAATATCTGAAAAAAGACCACCACAGGTAGACTTTAAAGCCACCCTGCTCATTGTCATCCTAAGAAATGTGTAAGAAACAAACCATTCTACTTATTAGCAGGAAGAAATGCACCCGGTTAACCTACGACTGAACGCGCGGCTTTCGCCAATGCAAGCTCTGCATGAAAAAAGGACAAGCATACAGCCCTGGCTGGTGGCAGGTGCGCTTAGACGTATAGTGCCACAACTGAAAAAACGATAAGCAAGCCGATAGACAAACAAGCTAGCCAAATCAAGGTGGAGATTACTAGTTGTATGCGCGTGCACGTGACACGCGCAAGTGTAAACGTAAACGACGAGCACACAGATACGAAATCCCCCCCCCCCCTATCTCAATATATTTCCTTTATAATCGATCAATATGCGCATTCATATACTGCAGTTGTATTTGATCGTGGGTCACCACAACAACACCCTCAGATCTAAAATCGCACACAAGCCACATGTTACGCACTCCAATTACACCATTAAGCAAATTATTGATCCACCCTAAACTTCATCAACAAATAGAATTACTACCTCACAAAATGAACATAGAGCGAGAAGTCATATGAATAAAAATAGAGAAGCACTTTAAGTACTTACAAATTTCCAGTAAGTGAACAAGACCTTAAATGCAGGAAATAAAGATCATTCTAAGAGAAGATCTTATGAGGTAAGCAAGAAATCAATAAAGCTAGGGTTGATAAAGTCCACACCAATAATTACTCTGAATAGAATAAATTTTACCCTATTTGCAAGCTGCTGATTAAGTGGGATGCAAGTGCAGCACAAAAAGCACTAAAAAGGTATAAGAAAGAGAATAGCATTAAAAAAATATTATATCTCAGGTCAAAGGCATTAAGAACATCATTTTCATATTTCAGCTAAAGTATAAAAGCTCCCTATCACAATAAACATAAATCAGGCCAAAGAAAGTCACCTGAAATAAGGTAAATGAAATGACAAACTACCATAAACAATCGATAAACCAATAAGACAAGTAAATTAGCAAGCACTTCCCTCACCAATTTAAATCACATAAAGCAAAAAAGAGAAGATTTCCATGAATAGACCTTTATAGAATCAGAAATATATTAAATGTGTACGTACAGCTGGCCTACGAAGAATATGATCAACACATTATGATCCAGTATTTTAGCAAGCATACCAAAAGAATATCTTTTACAATTCATTGGAGAATGATGGCGAGAGATGCAAAACGCACAAAATGAGAGCTAACAGCTGGATGGATAATCGTAGGCCAACCAGCCAGAGGCGGATGTTTTGAGAGTTGGTGATTTTAATTCACAAGTATAAATGATCGTGCAAAAGCGAGAGAAACAAAGGTCGGTAGAGAACGGTAAGAAGAAATTATACGAGACTTACCAGTCAAAGGGATATAACATCGACGAAGCTTAAGGCGACAAAATGTAAAACACGATTCAGAGAGAGAGGGGGGAAAGGACGAAGAACGAAAAAAGAAGGGTAAAAGATAGTGCAGAGGCACGTTAGAAAGACATTTGGTTGCGTGGATATTTTATATTAAGACAGTAGTAATATATGTGAGGGGCAAAGCTAGTAGGCAGTTATTTGTTCAGTCGTGCGTTCATAATTGTAGAAGAGGCAGGTTAATCAGAAACACTTGTTTGAAATAAGTGCTTTTAAAGGGTAGACAAAATAAAAAACGATGGGAATTGGCGAGTGAAACGGTACACTTACGCTTGCAAAGAAGCAAGCGAGCAAGAGAAATATCGACTGTTTTGTCGGTTGAGTAATCTGTCCATCAACCGCTTAGATAATGATGCACCGAGCTTTCACGGGCTTAGGCGGCTCAAGTGCCGCTAAAATAGCCTCATCGAACACGTTCTTTAAGCCTTTCTATAAGACAAGAGAGAATTAAAATTTAAATTAGTCCGAAGTTCAAATCTTTCAAAAACTCCTAAGTGAATTCAATAGATTTTCATGTCACTTAAAAAGATAAAAAGGCAACTGGAAGATAAAGTTTAATTCGAACAAATTCGTAAAGACGTATAAAGCAGAACTTACTCAAAACTAGTTAGAAAAGCATAAACATGAATTCATAAAAAAACTAAGTGCAAAGATTTATAAAAGTTCCATAACTTACTTGTGTGAGCGCAGAACATTCAACGTATTTGACAGCTTTAAGTTCCTTCGCCAATTTCTCGCCAACTTCATATTTGATTGGCTTCTGATTGTTCCTAGCCAATTTTTCTAGTGTTGCCGCATCATCTCTAAGATCGGCTTGCGTACCAACAAGAATAAAGGTTGCAGATGGCTGGTGATGCTTGATTTCGTCACACCACTAATCAAATTCAAAATAAAACACGAAAAGCAATGAGCAATGAATAAACTATAGAAAAACACTTAGTTAAATGAAAATACAAAATGTCTAGTCGTTATCAAACAAGGTGAAATGTCAATTCACCAAATACCTTTTCCTTAATATTGGTGAACGAAGTAGGATTCACAACGGAGAAGCACAACAAGAAAACGTCCGTATGAGGGTAGCTGAGAGGTCTCAAGCGATCATAATCTTCTTGACCGGCTGTATCAAAGAGAGCGAGAGTCATTGGATCGCCACCAATCATAACGGTAACGGCGTAATTGTCGAAAACCTATAAATAAATAATATTTAATTAACTTACGGTTGGAACATATTCCGAGGGAAATTTATTTGTGGTGTAGGATATTAGAAGGCATGTTTTCCCAACAGCACCATCCCCAACGACAACACATTTCACTACACGACCGGGACCGCTCATTTTTCCACAGAAAACAAAAAACCAAATCCTTCAACCAAAGAGCGCAACTGAAAGTTAGAGATTAAAACAAAATCTATCAGCTTGAAGTATAATATATATATTAAACTATTCAATATTTGAAACCAAAATTAACACTTTAAAAAATTTATAAAATGTTAATTGGAATAAAGTAGCACAAAGCGTAATATTTGTGGTATTTAATGCGATCAGTATTAAATTATTGCAAATAACTTCTACAATTATGTTATAGAAATTTGTTATATTCGAATTTAAAATAAGAATTAGAAAATTTAATAGCATTGGTGGCTATCAAAAAATATGCTGTAATTCTATCACATTTTAAATTTTAATAGCTCTCCAAAATTATTTGAAGATACATATTTATGATACGGTTTTTATGTTATTTGTTATGGATTCACTGTAATTTAAATTGAGTTTGAATTTTATTTTCACAAAAATTAATTGAGAAAAGCTTTTTCTCAAATGAAATTTTGAAATTCCTTTATTGAAATTGTGCAAGTTTTTGAAGGTAGAAATTTAGGTGGAGGAATAAATCCATCATTTTTTGATGGGGTTTAAATTCGGCCAAGTTGTTTAATATGCTAAAAAAGTCTCAAAATTTTTTCATCAATTTTTTTGCGTTTTGTGCTCCCCTTCCAGGGATTTTGAAATCATTGATTCAAAAAAACTAAAGAATATTTTTCCCGCCAATGGTGCCTTACATTTAGTATAAAAATAAATCATCGATATATAAATTAATTTTGTTAACTTATCTTCATCAAATTACTTGAAATAATTATTTTTATGTTTGAACTAATTGCTGCATCTTAATTCTCCGACTACCTGAATCTATATTTCTTAGTAAACTCTTTATTCCGTTATATATATATATATATATATATATATATATATATATATAACGGAATTATATATATATATATATATATATATATATATATATATATAGAATGGTATTATTTTTTATTATTGCTCTGCAGATGTGTTAAAAATAAATTTTGTAAAGTAACTTAGATTCACCTCTTCCGAGCTTTTGTTGGAGATATATTTACATCTTGACGTCAGTAATTATAATATAAATCTCTGTTTCTTAATAAGAAGATTTAAACTATTACCTCTTAAGATTCCAGGTTTTCTCCAATAAATGAACTTCAAGGTCGATTAAATTTACTTCATGCACATCTGGCCTCTATGAGTTCTGCTGATAAAGTTAGTGACATTTTTTTGTAATGTTGCCGTGGATTGTTCCTATTGCCTGAGCTTATCATAAGTCTTCATTTTCACTATGTTACTTGTGTCAGTATTCACTCACTCACGTTTTTTATTTTTGACATAAATTCTCAATCAAAATTTTTTCATTCTTAGAGTCCATCATCTTGCAGATTTTGCAACGAGCCGTTCGAATCTTCTAGTGATCAATCAGTATGCTCCGTTTGCCATGCGTTCCTATTCGACTACGCTACAAGCGAAATGATCAGTGGAATTAAGTGCTCAGAAGAAAAAGATGCAAATACTGATAGTGGCACAGAGGAATTAGAATCAGAATTTGGTAGCCGCTTTAGTTTACAACCAACATCGTCTCTCACAACTCGATCCGTTTCTTCTTCCTGTCCATATGCATCTAATTCCCGGTTATCTTCGCAATCACAAAATTCATGTCAAGCCATCACTCAGAATCCTAAAGCTTCGCTTGAAACGCTTCCTGGCGTATTTCTCAGTCCGATACTTAGGCGTCTCGATGATTTATCCACTTGGAGTCTTCGTAAGGCTTCTCCTAAACTTCGAACTGTAATCGATCATTTGATTCCAGAAGAAGAATGGGCCAAATTTGTATCTCACCGCTTTCCCATTTTTGTCCCTCGCCATCGCATCTCCTCTTGGCGTGTCCTTTACCTCAATATGATAGAAAGTGTAACCTGCAGACTTTGTCTATCTCGTCTTCATCTTCCCACTGTCTTTCCAAATGATGTTCCACCTGTACGTTTTCGTCGAGCAGTTAATGAGATTCGTAGCCTGTGTGCTGATCCCCCCTACGGTATTAAAGCCTTAGCTTTAGATACAGAAAATTTTTCTCACTGTCTGGCTGAAATATCGGGACCCCCATCGTCTCCTTACGAAGGGGGTCTTTTCTGCGTTCATATTCTCATTCCTGATAGTCATCCTATGCGTCCACCTGTAATTAGATTTATCACTCGTATCCTTCATCCTAACATTAGTTTCCATGGTGATATTGGTCTGGATTGTATCCGGGATAACTGGAGCTTGGTTCTGACACTTGACAAGGTGCTTCTAAGTATTCAATCTCTTCTGTCTGAGCCCTATGCTCGAGTCTGTATGGAACCGACGGTAGGCCGTCTCTTTAGTCAAAATCGGGACAAATTTGAGATGCTGGCTAAAATGTGGACATGGAAATATGCATGTCATGATTACCTTTCCGCGGATTTTGTTTCCCAACTCACAATTCCAGATCTCACAGAATGAGGAGATGTCCTCACGTTTTTCTTCTCATATTAGCGATCTCAACGCTTTTTTTGTTTTAATAATTATATGTACTGCTTATAATGCAATGTGTTATATTTAAGAGATCTTCCTTTTTAGCCTTTGTGTTTCAAATCGAATCACTCCAGGCATTACAAGTGATAATCGGTTCTAAGAATATTCACTATTTATATATGTATATATATAAAGGTCACTGAGATTTACTTGTAACCATGACTACTCTCAGCCGATATATTAATGCTCTGGTCTTGTAAAGAAAAGTGACATATCCATCTTCGTCTGGAGCACAATCTCTTAGTATCTATAGCTTCTTCTCATAATGATTAGCTTTTGAACTATAGTGGCCCAGTGACCTTCGTTAACCCTTCCATTTTCTGCGTCTTGTGCTCTCGTAATTATCACTCTTTGTCAAATGTACGACTAGTGAAATTATAAGAATGGCTAGTCCTGGAATCCAATTACAACTAAATGTTAACCCATATTAGGCTGTGTCTTAAAGATTCTAGCCCAAAATGGGCTTCCTATGAAATCAAATGTGAATGTTACGTTCCATCACAAATGTCCAAAAACTAAAGACCAAGTCTCGAAACTTGGCTTCGAAAATAAAGAAAGAAAATGCCTGAGTACAATGTCTGAGGTAAGAAATTAGTAGCGGAACGTCCTCGTGACTGATGCTCCAATACTGGACGAGAATTTAATACCAAAACGACATGAAATGAAACAGACTGAATTTGAACAAGTCATTTAAAAAGTATCCCCTTAAATAGATGTCCAGCATAAACTGCACATGATTGTAACACTAATAGGCCTTAACTTATGCTCAGTAATCTCTATGGCAAGTTCTCCCTGGATTAACTACCCTACCTCAGCATTATAGGGGAAACAGACGTATGGCGAGGACCACGTCTATTTGGGCTCATTGTGTCTTTTACAGCTTAGTATTCACAATACAATTAATGAAATGTTAAACAATGCAGGGACTATTGATTTGTGGCTGGATGAGATGTCTCTGTGTCCACAACCGCACTTACTCCCTACGCGGCATCAAGTGGCACGAAGCATCTTCGAGTCTGTCTGAGTGTGCTCTGAGATTTTATTTGTTCAGCCAACAGAGAGCTGTGTACTCCACAAAATGAATACTGAATCAGGCAGTTTACTCCGATGCGGTAATTGTTTCCTACATTATTTTTCAGTTGTGAATAGTTTGTGATTGATAGAATGAACTTCAACGAAAATGAATCCAATGGAATCTTAGAATTAGAATTTTCATTTTCAATATCGTGTTTGTTGTAATGATTAAGGTAGCAGACCCAGATGAGTAATTACAAATTAAATTAATTTAGATCAAAGTGGTCCTGTCTGGTGGGAAGATTTAAAGTCATTAAAACAAATTGTCAAAACGCATGAGATATTTGTAGAATGCACAAATGGAGGATAATAAAATTGAAGTGACGTAGTAAACGGTTTCTGCAATGGGCACTGAAGCGTAGCTTGCAAAAAAGCTATCAAGAAAACGGAGATCATGCCTCGAAATCCTATCTGACCTCAAGCGGAAGATGAAAACAATTACTGTTCACCTTTTCCTTTTGTGCTTATGCCCTCGTGTTCCTTCTATTTCGAAATTTCCATTTCTTTCCTTCATCTTCCTATCTCAATTACATTGTTTCAGTACTCAAATCTAGGCCTTTTAAATTGTGCAAAAAATTGGTGAGGAATGCCTTTTGTCAACGGTCTTCAACTCGTAAGAAAAGTTAGCTGAACTTAACTCTTATCCTCACACATATGCAGTGATATGGAACTATTGGTTCTAGTTCAATTATTGCCACTTAAATTCACTCTTAATCATGGAATTCATCGATTGGAATGAATGGTATATCAACTAGTGGAATTCAAGTGAATCTTCAAGAAGAAATATTCTGAGATATAGCGACTTAAGGGCGTCGGTGTCGAGGAGAAAATTTCCTTTGCCGTATTAAAAAGCATTATTGCAAATATCTCTTGAGAAATGGCATCTAAATTAATGGGTTCACACTTGCATGCCTAGATATTTAAGATCAGCTGTGATGTTACCATCGGTACAATTATTGGTTTAGCGAGCAGCCGATCATTAATCACTTATAGAATCCAAGGCAAATTAACTGTCAAAATCAATAAAACGTTAATTTATTTATATTTATACCAAATGCCAGGCGTTTTGTTAGTCATCATTAGCTCTTTATAGTGACTTCAGGCTTCACAGGGAGGAGGAGGAACATCAGAGTGACAAAAAGTCGAGATTGGGGGGGGGGG